CTATACAAATCATTTTGAAAAAGACGTAAAAATGTTTTTTTCCATTAATGCAAACAGTCAAATCCTGAATGAGATCATTTGGCCCACTCATGGGGATGAGTGGTGCATGTGGGGAAAAAGAATGGATTTGGATTCAAAGACCCCAGATTCAAATCCTGACTCTGTGACTTAACCTGCGTGAGCTTGTAGGAAGTCACGCCCCGTCTCCTCCCATCACAGCTCATTGCTTAAAGACTAACTACTCCCACTCTCTCATTTTTATAGATGAGGAAACTGAGGCCCACAAATGCTAAGTGACTTACTCAAGGTCACACAGGCAGTAAGTGTCAGACTTGGGATTTGAATCTGGGCTCTCTCACTTCAAGATCTGGACTAGATTTAGTTTTAATATTTTTTGTATCATGGACCCCTTTGCCAGGTGAATGAAGCTTTCTCAGAACTGTATTTTGCTGCCTACATTCATCTAAAGGTTAGTGAAAATAAAGATGTATTTTTTCCCATCTAAATTCACAGACCCCCAGAAATCGATCCATCGGCAGACAGGGAACCCCCGGTGAAGAGCCTCTGCCCTCGATCTTCAGAGTTCTGTGCTGTTCTGAACCCTATGATCTTAATGTGAATTACATATATGGGATCACTTCACTTATGGCACTCTTAGAATATTGAATGGAGAGCTGATCTTAGAGGCAGGCTGTGGGCCAATCATTTATCCCCTTAGGGCCCCAGGGAATGCTCTAAGGTATCAGCTGCAGAGGAGGTTCTGCTTTGCATTGGCATAGGAAATGTCTTCACCAGGAGCTCCTTATACTAGTGAAGGCATGGGCCCAGCAAAATAAATAAACAAATAAACAAATGAAGTCCCTGTGCTATGATCAGACCTCATCAAGTCATAGAATTTCATTATTGAAAGAATTCTTAGGGGTCCTCTAGTTCAGCCTCCTGCCCATTGCAGGAATTGCCTCTGTTACCTCCCTGACAAATTCAAAAAATAGATGCATTTTGAAATGGTTTTTTGTGTCTGAAAGTATAAATGGCCATTTTTCTCAGTCGGGGAATGAAGGCAGGTACCAAAGGCACAATCTGCAGTGTGAAGACACACTTATTTTCAGCTACAGTGGCCACATTGTGATCCAAACATTCTTCCCACAGACAGGCTAAGGCTCACGCTAAGGGGCCTGAAGAACATCCCCATATACATGAGTTTGGATTGATTTTTACGAAAGACTATCAGACAGATGTATTGCTCATGCACTTGTACACAGGTCCCAAGCGAAAGCTGAAAATATTTTATTTTTCATATGTTCTTATACAATCTCCTTGTATATCTAGTTACAAGAATTTAAGTTATGTTGGGCAATACGATACCTAAACTTTGGGGGCCTTGGTTTCCTCATTGTGCAAAGAAGAGGGCAGAGAAGGGGAGCTTTTACCTCATGATCTCTAATGTACATACCAGCTCTCAGTTGGTAATCCTAAGAACTGAGAGCTTTGGAAAATACTTTACATGGAACATCATTTGATAAATTGTTTTAAAAGACATTTTTGAACTGTAATGACCTCCTAATTTTAAAGTCTTCTTTCACCCCAAATGACATATAAGATATAAATGACAAAAAATGCATACAAATGTATATATATGTATAGATATAATTATTGTTCTACATATAGAAATATGTGACAGATAAGGAAAAAGTATTATATTCTCCAGACAGGTTAAATAAATGCCTTGTTCAAGGTCACACTGTGAGACAGAAATGGAAAAGGGGTGGTTTTCTTCCCATGAGAGACAATGGGATCTGTTTGAAATTATCAAGATTGCTGGGAAAGAATCCAATTATTTTTTTAAAAAAATAAGGCTCAAAAAAGTATTCTGTTCCATTTAGGAAATTTTCATTTGAAAATGATGTCTTCAAATTCAAAAAATGACTTTCTCCACCAGTGCTTTTACATTAATAGAATTTTCAAAAATGCATATTGTATAAGTGCTGCAAATTATCTCAGGCTTGTGAATGTTAAAAATATCCATCCTCTCTTTGTTGGCTAATGAAATCGAATTGTACTTCTCAATCAATGACAGATCCAAGTCTTTAGGACCAGAGTATTAACAATATTAATTTCTCCAGGGGCCATTCCTGTGTGCTTTTGTATGACTGTGTTGTGTTGTGTTGTGTTGTGTTGTGGGTAGGGGTTTAGGTACTGGGGTAGAAGACATATAAAGGGAAAATCTTACAGACAAGAACCAACTTTTGGTAGAAGGGAGAAAGCAGGAGGAACCAGAAGAATTAGCTCTGCCTGCCTAGGTGTCAGTAAATATCAGAGGTGGAAGACAGTCTCCTGGCCATGGAGTCTAATCAACCAATCAATCAATTAATCAAAAAGCTTTGATTAAGTGGCAGTCATGGGCCAGGCTCTGCGCTAGGTGTTGGAGATACCAAGACTAAGGAGACAGTCCAACCCATAAACTAAAGCCATCTCGTCACAATGTACTTGCCACATAGTCATCTCTAGCCTTTGCTTTGCGTTCCTTAATGAGGAACGGCCCAAGGTGCAATACAGTGGAGCTTTTGCTAAGTTGGGAACCAGAGGTTCTGGGTTTGAATCTTGGCTCTGTCACGGTGTGGCCTTAAGCTGGTTGTCCAACCTCTCTCGTCTTAGTTCTATCCTATCAAAAATGAAGGTGGTCCCTCCCAGTTCTAAATTTATGCCTAGAGAATCACATGATTTGAGAGCTGGAAGAGCCCTCAGCACCATCTTGTTTAACCCACACTTGAGAGGAATCCCTATTGTAACATACTAATGAGTCCAACCCAGCCCCTTGAGCCTATGGACCTCCTGGCACAGGCATCCTGTTCCACTTTTGTATATTCTAATTTTTCAAGAGTTTTTCCTTTCATCAAACTTCTATTTGCCTCTTTGCAATTCCCACCCTTTGTTCTGTCCTTTGGGGCCAACTAGACTCATCCTAGCCGTCTTTGACAAGGCAAGCCTTCAATTCCTCAAATAGAGTTATCATTTCCCTCCACCAAGTCTTTTCTTTTCTGGTCTTCAGCTGATGAACTCAAAGCCTTGAACTATCCTGCCTGTCCTCCTATGGATGCTCTCCATCTAATCAATAGCCTTCCTAAGGACCCGAACATATTCCTCAGGATGGGGTCTGATATAGACCTCAAGTGCACCACTGTGTGCTGTTGTAAAGTACTATTTATCATACCCATCAATGGGCCAGTGCTAAACCCGGCAGACCCTTGGACTCCAGTTTCTGTCCTTGAGAAGGAGCCACGTTGTGCCATAAGTTTCATATGACAGGTTTGAGTTACAGTGAGCTATTGAACAGAACACTATTTCTTGATGGCATGCAATGCCTGTATTGTAGTTTTTTTTTTTAGGTTATCAATAATTATTTCTTTACTCTTTCATATATTTTATACAAGATACTACTACTGGTGCTGCTTTGTGCATTTAAGAATGAGTTTTGTCCAGTCCAGTCTATATTGCTGCTAAAGTGGTTTTCCTCAAATGAGGATTGGTCATATGACTGCCCTACTCAACCACCTTCAGTGGCTCCCTGAGGAGGATTGGAGGATGAAAGAAAAATTCATCTGTTTATCTTTCAAGGCTCTTTATATATCTGTCCCAATTTATCTCCCCAGCCTCACTCTGTGTTACTACCCTTCACGTGTTCTTCAATTTAGCCAACCTAACCTCTCTTTTCCATTCACATAACACTGCTATGTCTGAGCTTCTATGCTAACTATCCTCCATGTCTGGAATATGCTTTCACCTCCCTTCTTCCTTCTCCTCCTCTTTCCCCTCCCCCCCTTCACAGAGTCCTTTTCCTTCAAGAAGCAGCTCTAGCACCACCCTATTCATGAAATGTTTCCTGATTCTTCTACCTCTAGTTTCCTCCCTAATTATCTTGACTTTCTTTACATTTATTATTTCTTTCTATTTTGTATGTGTTTGTCTCTCCTATTAGACTGTAAGCTCTTTGAGGACAAGGACTGTTTCCTTTCTATCTTTGTATCCCCAGTGCCCAGTACAGTGCCTGGCATACAGTAGGTGTTTAGTAAATACTTGTTGATGAACAAATAACTGACATTTACATGGACCATTGAAATTTGTAATTCACTTTGACTAGATTTTCTCATATGCACCTCGAAGATGCAAACATATCAAGAAAAGGAGTCTCAGAGAGATGAACTCACCTGCCCAGCTAGTGATAGAGAGAGGATTTGAAAGTACGCCTTGGGGCAGCTAGGTGGCACAGTGGATAGAACACAGGCTGAGTTCAAATCTGGCCTCAGACACTTGACATTTAACTAGCTGTGTGACCCTGGGCAAGTCACTTTACCCCATTGCCTAGCCAAAAAAAAAAGTACATCTTTCTGTCCCCAGGCCAAGTACTCTATTCACTACTTTATAAGGTGCATGGGATAATAGATGAATGCATATATACCTACACATATATCCCCCATGCCCTGTGATATGCATTACATGGGACCAATTCCATAAATAACATCATATATTGAATGCTATCTGACACCTACTTCTATTTTTTTCTTCATGTGAGAATTCATGTTTGTTTTTCTTGATTCCATGTTAAGACCAAAATGAATGACTTTATCTAATGCTATCGGAATCCATATCTATCTTCTGCTTTTTTTTTGTTTGTTAAATAGAATCTACAGTTTCAAAGTTTCTCGTCCCTGTTCTTCTCCTGATTGGCTGGATTGTGGGCTGTGTCGTAATGGTTTACGTGATCTTCTCTTGATAGAAGTAGGTGAACTGAACATACATATTTATACCAAGTAAACCTCTAATATAAAAATCATCTTTTCCATTTTACTGATCAAAGCTTCTATCATGCAGGAAAGAAGATTTCAGACTGACATCTTTTAGAAGACCTAAGAAGAGAAATGAAAATGACTAATCATTAAAAATATTCCATTGATAAGCATGATATTTGCCATCACTTTTAAAGTTTGGGCACGCAAAGCTACCACCTTAAAGCCTGTTTCTTCCTAAGTATTTAGGCTGACTTTAGGACATGCAATCACCAGGTGCCTTATCAATGGCCTGGTGGGGTGGTCTGAACAACTGACATCTCATTGATGTGATTAACTGACACAGAGAATATGGCACATTTTTCTACCAACACCTTTTCTACAAAAATATTGCTATGAAAACAAGCAGGCACAATTTAAAAATAGGAAGAGGGTTAACCTGTAATATATGGAACTCCTTAGGGGAAGAAAATCCTACAACCCAATCCCACAATTTAGAGTCTTAGAGAGCTGCCTAGAACACTGAGAGATTAAGTGATGTAGGGAGGGTCATCCAAGCATTAGGTGTCACATGTAAGAATTGAAGCTAGGTCTTACTGGTTTTGAGGTGGGCTCTCTATGTACTAAAAACAGCAACTACTCTCAAGTGTTTCCTACTGGCATAAACATTTAAATGAGACTACTTTTAAGTAGGATACTCAGATTAAAGCAAGACTAAAAGAAAAATAAACTCATAGGCACAGTTAGGTGACTTACTAATTCTTAAATTCTTTTCTACAGGTTCAAACCCTGATTTACAATCAGGCTTGAATAAAAATAACTCTCCTTGAATCTATAATGGAAATACCCCTGGCTCTCTACTTAGGGGACTTGGATTTAAGTCTCAGTTCTTCCAATTACTACCTTGTGATCCCAGCAAATCACTTAACCTTACTGGATTTCAGTTTCCTCATCTGCAAAATTGGGGAGTTGATTAGATGGTTTTTGAGGTTCTTGTTAAATTTTCAGGCTATGATGATCCTATGATATTTTCAACTTTTCCAGGACTTGCTTTGTCATTGGTTTCAAAAACCCCTTTGAGGTGGCTTCCATTTGCTTTAATTCAAGCAATGATTTTCACTTTCCTTCAGACTCTTCTACTCTCAACTACTGGATGAAACCCCAAAGCTTAGATCTGATTTCACATATTGTATCATATAGTTTCTTTTACAGTGGATGACTGAGTTAACTTTATGGGTTTGACTTGAGAGTGGGCAACAAGGATTTTTATGATTGTCCTGGGAAAGTCAAAAGATCATATTCTTCCAACTCTAAATAAAAAAAAAATCCATTTTTTCCCTCCAAAGGCAGAAACAAACAAATTAGAGTCACCATCATCTGTGCTCTATTTTTGCTCCTATCTTTTTTCCTAATCAATAGGTTTCTTTTTCCCCTGCATGAAAAATCTTTCTTGCTCTGCTTTTCTTTCCTTTTAAGCCCTAGCTTGTGTCTTTTCTAATTTGCACTCACAGCTTAGCTATTCCCATTAAACACAAAACACTCAGTTCTCGGTTGACCTCATACGGCTGAGACTCTGACACAGCCTGCCCTTTTTCTAGGTTACTCTTTTCTCCAGACTATAACATGTTCATTTTTGAACAGACCTACAATGTAATTTCTCCACAGTAAGCATTTTTCCAATTCATGTGGCTGTATCTATTTTATCCATATTCTGCCTCTGTGGCTTATTTCAGGTCCCATTGCCTCTATGAAGACAGTGACCCAAATGTCTACCAATCAATCCTTTTTCTAACTTCTTTTGCATTTTATTATCCCAATTTATACTTATATTTTAGTATCTAATTACTTATTACTACATTAATTTGAAATGAAATATAACATTTTTATCTGATTATCAAGTGCTACCCCATCATTGTTCACTAATGCTTTCATGTGGCTTGGTTTTGTGTCTCTTTTTAGACTGTGAGTTCCTCATGAGTAGAGGTCAGTGCCACCTGATGCTTAGCACATGATAGGCACTAAATAAATGCTTATTGGCTGATTTATTTGATTGATTCAGTCTACCTATTTACAGTATCATTTTACATGCAGTATTTATATTTATAGCAAGGACTATAGGAGTTCTTCCCATTGAAAGTGATAATTTAAGCCAGGTTGGAGTTCTCAAGTAAGTGACTGATGGTTAGCAACCAGCAGAGTCATAACTAGAGTGGGGAAGTCAGGGCTTTGTTTCCCAGGACTAGCATCTGGGTGAGTGCTCCCAATGGAGGTCCAGAGACGGCCAACTCCATGCCTTGAAGTTGGAAGTTCTCTCCCTGCCTATGCCCTGGTGGAGAAGAGGAGAAGATGAGGCCCTCCCAGTGTGATTAGAGACTAGAGACTAGAAGAAAAGAAGACAGACCATCCCTTCTCCCACCACAACTTTCTTTATCTTCAGTTGGACCATTTCTTTGGGCATACCTACTTCCCTCCACCCCTTGCAGGATCATAGGTCAGACTCTGAGGGGAGAGAAGGAGAAGTTCCCCCCTCAGCCATCCCCAGATAAATTCTCCCTAGGTACCAGGCTTCCTATCTATACCTTAGCTCTCCCATAGGTAAGTTGGACAGTTATTTTTCAAACTCCTTACTTAAATTTTTTTTGATCATTTCTAAATTATTTAACTTGAATTCTTTTACCTTGAAAAACAAGACTAATACTTCCTCATTATTTCCAAGCCCAGGCTGTGCTTTTCCTACCCATCCTCAGAAATCATTCAGGATATGAGACAGATAACTTTATTTAAATCACATATTAGAATGGAAATGGGGAAAAAAGTTTTTTTTAAACAAGTCTCTTCTCAGTGTCTAGAGAAATGGATGAATATAGATGAATTTTTTCATGTATATAAAAACACTCCCACTAAGCCACTGAGAGCATTGCAGGCAGAAGAGTTCTCTGGGGAGACAGAGAGAAATGAGAAGTTGGATCCAGAGGGAGGGAATCTATTTAGGCAAATAGCAATAAAACTTTCAGATAAGGCCTCTATCTCAAGTCTTTGTGATTAAATGAACAATAAATTGCATTTTAGTGCCTTTTGAACATTTGGTGGAGAAAACACTACTACCTATGTAATGCGTAATCTTTATTCGGGCTTGATATTGGTTTCTTTTAGGGGCAGTTGGATGGAGGTGGAGAAAGGAGACAGGGTGGGAGTGGTGGAGGAAGGAGAGGAACATTGAAGGCACAAAATGCATTCTCTATGATTTCTTTAAAGGAGAGGAACTCAAGGACCAGAGTAATAAATACTTAATGCTGGCGGGTGCCTGGAGAGAATGAGCTGGATGGGACAGTTCTTTGCTCTTGCTTTGGACAATTTGATCTGAATTTTTGATTTGTAAAACTGAGATGGCTTTACCTAGCAGCTAGGTGGTACAGTGGTTAGAGCATAGGGCTTGAAGTTAGGAAGAACTGAGTTCAAATCCAGCCTCAGATACTTCTTAGCTATATGACTCCGGGCAAGTCACTTAACCCTGTTTGCTTCAGTTTCCTCACTTGTAGAATGATTTGGAGAAGGAAATGGCAAATATCTCTTCAGTATCTCTGCCAAGAAAACCCCAAATGGGGTTACAAAGAGTCAGACGTGACTGAAAGAACTGGACAGCAGCAGCAAAATATTAATAGTAGTTAACACGTTATCTCTTGAAGGTTTTCTAAGTGATTTACATATATGATCTCATTTGGTCTTTATAACAACCCTATGAAATAGGTGTTATTATCCCCATTTTATAGCCGAGGAAGCAGTGAGAGGGGTTAAACTGTTTGCAAAGGGTCACACAGCAAGTAAGTGTCCAAGATAGGATTTGAACTCAGTCCTTACCGATAACAAGTCTAGCTCTCTGCCGACCTACCTCCTAGATCTGGAAGGATCTGTTGTGGCCATCTAGTCCAAAGTGGAGGAAATTGAAGCCCAGAGAAATTAAGAGGCTCATCAGAGAGGCAGGATTCAAATCCAGGTCCTTGGACTTCAATTCCGTCTAGCATGATTCCCACTCCATCCCACTCTTACATTAGGAGACATCACCTCCATCTTGAGTGTGTCTTTGGTGCTAAAGGAACTGAAACACACACATAGAGCTTTGAGTTGGTTCAGGTCACCTTCTGTGAAATTGTGCCAGTAGCTGAGATAGAATGGAGGTTGGCTGTAGAAGGGTTTTCGGGACACTGCTCTCCCCTGATTCTCCTTTCTGTTTGGCCATTCCTTTCCAGTCTCCTTTGCCAATTAATTTTTCATCAAGGTCATCCTCTCTAACTCTGGGTGTCCCCAGAGACTCTAACCTTGGACCTTTTCTTTTCATTCTATACTCTCTCACTTGGTGACCCCACCAGCACCCATGGGTTCCATTGTGATCTCAGTGCAGATGATTCCCAGAGATAGATCTATATCTGTATCTTCTATAGATGCAACCCTAGTCTCTCTTCTGAGTTATAATCACACATTTCCGACTACCTCAGACTGAATGTCCATCCCACAGGTATCTTAAACTTTGTGTCCAAAATAAAACTCATTATCTCCCCACCCCAACCCAAAAAAACAAACCTTCCCTCTTCTTAATTTCATTCTCACTGTCAAAGGCACCACCCAGGCCAGCAACCTTACATATCCAACCCTACACCAAATGTTGTCCTTTCTACTTTCACAACATATTTGGCATGTATCTCCTCCTCTCTCCACACACATGGCCACTCCTCCAGTCCATGTCCTCATCATTCCTTGCCTGGAATACTGCCCCCTGGTCTCCAACTGACAAAAGTTATATTGTATTTATTTTGTCTTTACTTATCCGTGTCTCCCCAGTAGAATGTAAGCCCCTTGAGGGCAAGGACTTTTTGGTGTTCTTCTTTGCAATTCCTGAACCTGGGACACAATGGAATTAGAATATTAGAATAGTTGTTAAAAAAGTGACAAGTAGTGGAAGATTTCAAGACCTGAGCATGAACTGCCTTGT